TAAGGAAAGATTATGTATCCATATATTATATAGATATATACTTCTATATAGATACCTATATATATCAATACTTATATACTTCTTATAGTAGCCTACAGCCTGAAAAAAAATGCAGATGAAGAAAACCAGAGGGTTTGCCCCAGGAAAACCAAGCAAGGGAAGACTGGCATGACCAAGTGCTACTGCAATTACTACGTAACTTGGAGTTTGGAAAAAACGATGCTGATGAAGTCTACATGAAAAAAAGCCAACCCAAAACACAAAAGCAAAGCAGAAATCAAAGCATCTCTGTCACATTCAGGTGCAATGCGCTTTCTGCACAGTAAGTGGAAATTACAAAAATCTCTAAACTGGGTTTAAATACAGCACTAAAAACACTTTTACGAAACCTGGGCTTTAATCCAAAGCACAAACACAGCCAAGGCTGGCTCTGCTCAGCTATCACAATACAGAACAGCTTGCTGTTAGCTCACTTCACTAGAATGCTTTCAAGTGAGTATTTAGAGCCTTCAAAGTCATGTATATACATGTTGGCTTATCTCCTGATGCAACAATATAGGAAGCAGGTACCACAAAAAAGATAATAGGATATTAAAAAAAAATAAGGCTTACAGTTACTGAGAAGCTGTGGTGCAAGTGCTTGTGTTTGAAGTTTGCATTTTAAATAGTAGCTAATGCTTCATAAATGTCTCTATATTGCTCTTTATGTAGTTTGGGAACCCAGTCAGTGCTTGCTTGTGATTTGGCTTGTCTTTCAGTTCTCCTCAGCCTTCAAAAAGCAAAAGCAAGAAAACAAACTAAAAATCCCCATGGCTGTACTTTCTGAGCCCACCACATGCCTGTGCTCAGTAATCATCCAGCTGAAAGATACTAAACACTCAAACCACAAACTATTCAGAAGGAATCTGTCCCACTGAGAGCTGAAGTGTGTTTCTATGACAAGGATGTGATCCACTAATTTGCAATTTTTAAAATGGGGTTTATAATGAACCCCGAGTTGGAGAAAGAAAGGGCAAACGAGTTCAATTATTATATTTAGCTAACCATGGAATATGCACTATTTCTTACAAATGTGGCATTTTAGAGCTACAATGACCGGTAGCATATATGTGATACTGTTCCCCTAAAACAGCAGCGATGTTTTCAGTTAACCCAGGCTCACTTACTGCCACCCCAGACACCACAGGGTGGTCTGGAAGAGATCTATGCACTAGCTTCACAGCCAGCCGGCTTTAAATAAATGGATGGACCCAGCTAGCACAAAGGCAGCTGAACATAGGTCCTCTTGGTAGCCTCACTAAGAGTGTGCAAAATTCCTAGCCCGTTATAAGGCTTACTTGTGCACACAGATGTTCAGTAAAAGGTAAAGAGGGGCTTACTTGTATGAGCGAGCATATGTGTGTGTATGTGAATACACTCACCTTTTGATATGAAGAACCCTTCTTAAGGTTCATTACCAATTAGCACATACAGATGCAGCTACGTAAAGACAAGAGGGAAGCTGGAATAGATACAAAGAAAAGCTGTGGGGTGAAAGACACTGAATGACTCACACCCAGCTGAGGAGATGAAAGATGAAGTGTAGTGACAACGAGCAGCACTAACAGGAGTCCACTGTGGATTATACTGAGGACACTTTGGCAGTTCCCCCCCAACCCTCCCCTTAAACAATCAAGACTGCTCATAGCTCAGAGCTGTGATTTATTATTCACTGATTCCTTCAGTATGAGTTACAAGAAAAACACACATTTAAAAGCAGTAATTCATGGTGTTCCTAGTAACTTACTGAAATAATCAATATACAGTTCCCAATGTTCTCTACAAATACCCTTCACAACATCTCTCTAAAATAGATATTGCAGGCAATAGATAAAGTCAATTTGGAATGGGGAACTCTGACAGAGATGCTGGGCATCATCCTGGTGTTCTCTTAAAATCCAGCTGTGCAACTGCTTTCAATAAGAGCAGGACTAGACTGATAGATCAAGAGTTATCTGGAAGTCCCTACCCAAAGCATATTGGCAGGAATCTGAAATCAAGTTAGAACAGGCTGACAAGAGAACTAGGTTTCATTTGACCTGATTACCAAACACCTCTCCTTTGCATATGCTGGGATTGAAGGCAGATACTCTTCTCACCCATTATTCAAACCAGAAGTGTTACCCTTAGTGCTCAGATTTCTATCAGCTCATAACAAATCACAGGAGGAAACTCTCTGTGGCCAGGAGACAGGCAGAAGAGAAATAGTTTTACACTTTCTAATAATATTAAGTGCGATGTGTTCTGGGACACCACTATTTCGGCATTAACCAGCCCCTGTGATATCTGTGTACGTCATTCATATGACTCCAGCCTTACAATGAAGTTCAGGGTGGGAGCATCATGAAGAAGCATCAGCTTAGGCCATTGGAATAACTTCTTGTCTGTCATGTTTGCTGTATCTCAGGGTCAGCCTAGGTGTTATTTACAGTCAGACAATCAGAGACACCCAGCCTATAAGCACTGATTTGGTGAGAAAGGATCACCCTTTCAGAAGATAATGCCCATGTGAAAGAAACCATCCTAATTCTCTTGTGATGATTTTTGCTTTCCTGCTGACTCAGGCTTACTAGAATGGTATGATGGTACGTTTTAGATAACTACATATTTATTTTACTAGTTGATTTCATACACCCTTAAAATAAAAACAATTTTGAGCTGAAAGGTACAAGGAGAAGTGACCTGATAGCTGAAACTCTGGCTTAAAATTAGGAATAAAATGCATCTAGTCACAAGTTTGCTGTGCAACTGCCTTTACCTGCCAGTATCCCTAGGTGTAAATGGAGGAATTAAGACATTGCCCTCATTTTATGAAATGCTTTGAGGTAGACAGTGCATTATTCTGTTCACCAAAACACCCCACACTTCTTTTACAGTATGGTGCCCCATGACTATGTGGTGGATCCTCCTTTCCCTGGTAAAACACTTGATGCCTCCCATGCCTTTTGCTGTTATAAACACTGACACAATGTGCTCCCATCACCTTCCAGGCTCTACCAGCTTCAAGATGCAACAGAAATAAACATTTCTGGACACACAGTACAGGAATCCAAGTGATGCTGGAAGATCTCACAGACTATACTGTCCCAGAGCTGAAGTAGTAGTGTTGTTTAAGACAGACAAAAAGGCAAGGCAGGACCTTGAGCAAAGGTAGTAAGTTTTTGGGTGTTTTATAGCAAGCTCTTTTCCTCACTTCCAGTGCATCTACAACACATGCATATGGTGCTGAACTAAAACCATCTCCAAATACAAGGAACACAGTGAAAGCCAGGGGCAGTCGTGCAGGAACCTAAGGAAATTCTGAAAAGGAACTGCGGAGCACGCAGAATTGGTCACTTATCCACCAGTGCCCTCCAGTGGTTCACACAGCAGCTCAAAGCACTGAAGCCAAGAACCCATTCCAGAGCTCTAAGACCCCATCGTTTCACTAATGGACAGAAATGAAAATGCTAGCATCTAGATGTCAAATACCTCTTTTTAAAATCCAAGCTCTTGCATGGCAATCTCATATCTGCTATCATTGTATACCATATCCATAAAAACCTACATTCTATCGAGTGAATAAAATGCCCAGGAGCCATGTAAAATGAGACAGAGAACAAAATGATTCCAAAGACAAAAATGTTTATTCATACTAACTGTTCAAATGGGTATACAGTCACAATCTTTAAACAAAATCAGTACACGTGTCTAGGGCACACTGAGTAGGTACCATTAGAAGAGAATGCCTTCCTTGGTAATCAGTATTCATAAACCAAGCATTATTAGTAACACAGGAGTGAATGCTCTCAGTAAGACTATCCTAGTACCAGGCAAAACAGTGTTTGTAGAACACGATTCTAATCGGTTCCAGGATCATATCACAATCTTTTAGTGAGCAGTAACCATTAGTGGGAGGAAAGTATCTCGTGACAAGTTGATGGTTCTCAACCACTGAAAAGCAAATACAAATGGTGAAGTATTTATAGAAATTTAAATAAATTATTTTAGTTACTGAAACCTCACTTTTTGTCTGAAAAGAACAAGAAAGTACATACTGGAGGAAAGAATTTCATAAACCCCTTTCTCTGGATTTGCCTTAGAATAGGCTTCTGTACAAACCAAGAATAGTTAAGATTTGGGGGTTTCAGTGGTAGGAATAATAAAGAAGTCACTTTAATATATATATTAATTTACCACATTTAGCTTATATAGCCCTTTATGTATCTTACAAAAGGCTACTGTTCTACATACTGCATGTAAAAAAAAGTTTACATATTTATGTATATATACACACAGATAAAAGCAAAGCAAATCACCAAGGTATTAAAAAGCCAGCAGAATCCATCAGAAGACACACTGAAAGCTGTGCAGTAATGAGGAGTGTATGCTCCGTGTGGGTGTGTCACAGTGCTTCCAGTCTTTTAACTGCTAAAGCAGAGTGCTTATTCAAAAGTCAGCTCTACCAGCTATTTCCTCCATTACCACAAGCATCTGATGTTACTTAACTTCTGACCATCTGTTGTATTTAGCACTACAGAAATAAGGCAAAATAACTTCTCACACCCCTGAATATTTGAGGACATTCACAAGATCTTCTAAAAATGAATGCCAGACAAGAAATGGTAGCCCTAAGCTGAAGCATCTATCTGTCTATACAAAGCTGTCTCAATGCTCACCTCTTTCATTGCAATCCAGGCTACTTAAGGAAGTGTGACAATTATTACCAGGCATCCTTGTTTTAGCTAGCTTTGAATGAAAACTTGAAGTTTCACTATGGGTTTGTGCTCATGATTTCTGGCCTTAAAAACATCACTGAGAACACTGACCAACACTTCTGATACTGCTCAGAGGTTTGGAGTGGATATTCAGAGTGATGGGCATTCATTCTGAGCTCTCTAAATCTTGATGCTAATCCTTGTATCCCAGCTGCAAGAATGAGTCCACTCTTTACGTATCTAGACATATTTTACCCCCAAATCACACCTTAGTACACAAGAAAAGCAAGACAGATTTCATTTACCTATTCTGCACAAACCTTGTTACAACAAAAAACAACCAAGCCAACCATACCCCTAAAACTCTCATGAAATCACAACTTTTCCAATAACAGATAAAAAGAACCTTCCTGATAAAGCAAAGGTGCCTGAGAAAACCTAGTTGAGATACCTGGGGAATAAAAGAGATGGCTTTGAGAAGCTTCCTGGCAGACTGGTCAATAAGGTACTTGATCAGGTACCCATTAAAGTTTATCCAGTGAAAAAATAACTTCAGAATTCAACATCTCTGGGGTTCTGGTTCAGGACTACAGTCCAGTTGACATGTCAGTCACTGGCAGGCACTGAAGTGAATGGAGTCATTGTACTGGTACATAATAACTCTATTGACAACTCAAGCATATCTACCAGGGAATTTCCCAAACATTCTTCGGAGTGTTGTGTGGAGTGCAACACCTTCCAGCTGATGGTTAAGCTACAAACACTGCATGACAGCTTTGGGTGGTGGATACCTAACAGTATCCTTCCCCACCCACCAAACAGTACCAGTGAGAATGACCACAGGCAACACTGAAATGACCCTCAGGATCCAGGGTTTAGAGTCCCCAAGTCAGTATCTCCCACTTGTTTTTGGGAATGCAGTTCTAGAAGAGCCTAACACCTGGGAATGTCAAGGGAGAAACAGAAATACAAAAATGTGAGGACTAAAACCAGGAGGGAAGGTAGTGATCCCCCTCTAGCATATTCCCTTTAAAATTGTGTAATTAAAACCTTTAACTTCACTTAGAAACTGGTTTCAAAATAGTCTGAGAGTTTTAAAGACTTTCAAAAATCATAATGTTCTTTACCAGAGTTCATTAAAATACCCCTGTAGCCCCCGAGCAACTGCTTATTTTGCATTAATATTGCATAAATTAATACAATCATATCCATGCCAAATATTGTCATTGTCTATACAGAGCAAAACCAAGTTCTAATAGAAAGACTCCTAACATTTCAAGGTTACAGGCTTGATTCAGTCTCCATCAAAACCAGTGGGATTCTTCTCAGAGTGTCCAGTGGATTTTGGACTAGGCCTTAATGACGGACAACAAAACACTGTTGTTTATGGTGTAGGAACACACACAAAAGTACACTTGTGTATATACACTGGATATGTAGTGTAACTTTTGCATTGTCTATCTTAAACCAGTTGTATTTTAGCCAGTAAAACAACAATCACCAAGCCAACATGGCATGCTGTGTCAAACTAGGCTGTATAACAGAAAGCAATACCCATTCAGAGACATTTACATTGTTACTGTTGCCTGGTGAGCAGCTTTGAACAAATGTTAATGAGACATCCACTTGAACTCAGATATGAACTTGAAAGGCAGAAATCTGCACTAGGATGATGCCTGATTGATTTTATATGTGCTCTGGATGACTCTGAAGGCAGGATATCATCTCTCTGACAGGCTTCCCTTCATAGCAGATTTGATACACAGCAGTGAATAATGGAAACCTGAGGAAACAGGGTAGAGAAAGCAAACGCAGTGTAAGTTTATTCTGTAATGTTTTCTTAAATGAAAGCAATAAAGTGGGGTTAGGAAAGATCAGTTTCTTTTAGTATCTGCCAAGTGTTAATGCTGGGCTGAAAAGCACTGGCTAAATACAGAACCTCCAAGCATCTCTAAAATGACAATAAAGCATCTCTAAAATGCACAGTCACTCTCAGAAGCCTAGCTAGCTCTAATGGGGCCTGCAGCATTCATTATGTATGGCCCAACCATTAAGTCATCTAGAAAGTTAAAAAAAACTAAAACCACTTGCATCTTTCCTTAAGAATCTTACAGTAGTACTCATCCATGGTTAAAAAGGATGACTGGCACAGCAGTTGTGCATTATTTCTGAGCAATCATTTGAAAACACAATTGCAGAATATGACACAAAGAAACCCAAGAAGAAATTGAAGGTCAAGATTTTGATGGGACCAAAATAAAACATGGATTTTGAAATGTCAGATTCTTCAGAACCAAGGTTGACTTCAGGCTCAGCAAAATTCAAATGCATCTTATGTCTGAGTACATTAAGAGGGCTAGTCCTACAATGTTGAAATGAAAAACTAATTGCACTGTAAATACCAACAGGCATCAACCCTGCTACCGAGGCTCTTCTGCTGAACTTTGACTTTTGCCTTTTTCTGTGTAGCCTTGAGATTCTTTTTGTAGGATGAGAGCGTGAAATTTTATTCTTCCTAGACACTTAACTCTGAAGTTTAAAAACACAGCTGGTTTATTGTGCTTTGTGTTTTAAAGCAGTAACAAGAAAAGTCTGGGAAAACCACTCTGAAAGTTGCTTTTGAAAGTGTTGTTGAATATGACCTTTTAGAAAGAACTGACACATATACATTGGTATACCAATGGTTTTCATATCTTTCATTAAAAAAAAGCAAAACCTGAAGTCTTCCATAATACACTCTATTTGTTGTAAGATAGGGAAAAAATAATCAACTAATCCCCCCCAAAACAACCCAAACATGACGTCCTGTCTCATTTAGGGCATCATTATCAGCAAAGAATGAAGCCAATGTTTAACTAGATTTTTTTTCTGCAGTTAGCTTCACGCATTGCAGAGACAGACTTCAGTTATCTTATATCCAAAGGAAAATGTAAAAAAATAAGTAACTTAATGCAGCTGAGCCATTAAGACTATACTTCAAAAACTCCTTTGGGAAAAGACAAAGTAGCAAGGTTGGTCTTCTCACTGGCAGGCATTTATTTTCTGATTTGCATCCTCTTCAAACAGGAAGAGATACATGCATCCCTTAATCTCACATGGAGACAACCGTATGCATGTGGCTCTAGGAATCATACATATTCTGACTAGAACCCAAATGAACAAGCCAGGAAAACCTGCTTCATTTCATACCAGAAAATAACCCCCGACCTGTACAAGCAGATGGCAAGTTTTATCCTACAGCAAACTGGAAATCATATTAGGAAAGAGAACTATGCTATTTGAGCTAGAATTCATATGGAAAGAAGCAGACACTCTATTCAGATGATCACCTATACAGAACCTTAATAACAAAGTGCCTCTCCTTGGAGGCAAGTAATGAATTTACTACAATGAAATTAGCTGTAGAGCCTTTTCATAAGTCTCTTTAGGAAGCTCAGCTTCCATTTCCATGTATTTTATTCTTTTCAAATATAAAACACACTTGCTGTGCTTTTCTGTGATAGCAGAAGGCAACAATACATTCTGCACACAGAACAGTGTTCACAAATTTAATGTCACGCTATTAGCTTGATCTACAGCAGTATTATTTTGTGGTTCTATTCACTTCTCTCTGTGATTTTAACTGGGGATTAAGCTACTCTTATTACAGTGATTTTCTTCTTGGCTGTTACCTTCAAGAAGATATCAAATATGCAGGAAGAATTATGGGCACAAAAAAGGGGCATGTGGAACTGGCTTTATCTGTTCTTACTTACTTTTCCAGCATTCCTTTCTGCTTGAGGATACGGTACACTTCTGCAGAAGTCCGTGGTCCTTGCAGTTTCTGACCATTTAACATTTCTTGCTCCAGTTGTTCAATAGACTAAACCATGAAGTGGGAAAAAGAAACAACAGGAGGACAAGGAGAGTTATGATAAAAGTTTTCATAAGCCTGACAGCATCATCTGAATGACAATAAAAAAAAAAAATAGTTGCTGAGAGTTTTTCCTTTCTCAAAAATGACCTTAACTGAGCATATAAAATATTATCCTATATTATTGTTTGTAAAAATTCCCCTTAAATCTGCATCTCCCTCTTTTTTAACACCTTTACCCCCATTCTAGCCTTGCTACACTCAAAAACAAGAGGAAAGAGAGGGGTTCTCACTCAGCACAGCTGGCATGCCTCAGATAATTGTACTGTTACTCCAACAAACAAGGAGTGTTAGTACTTGCAACAGTGGACTTCACCCGGTGAATGAGGTACCTTTCCAGTTTTAACGAAGGCTTCTGCTACACGTCGGTTCCGGCCACCATAACATGTTGTGATGAGATCAGCAACCCCACAGCTCTCCAGAAAAGTGGCAGTAGACACCCGCCCTTTGCAAAACACTCTGGCAAAGGCAATCATCTCCATCAGGCCAAGACGAATAACAGCAGCTTTGGTATTGTCACCGCAGCAAAGGCCATCACAGAACCCAGCTCCTACTGCTACTATATTCTAATGAGAAGAGACAAACCAAATGGGAAACGAGCCAATTACTGCTTGCAGAATTCTATGAGACACCAAAACACAGAGTGCAGATGTCCTTAAGAACTGCAAATACTTTACTATTCTAAGACTCCGTCCTTGTTTTATTGGGGTTTGGGTTTGGTTTTACTGTTTTGGTTTGGGATTTTGATAGCTATGGGATAATCTCTACAAAAGAAAAAACAAACAAACAAACAAAGATGGCAAGTCTTATATTACTAAGTTTTTCAAAGGATAAAAGCAGAATAAAAGCTCTGGAACAAGTTGCCCTAGAGGCTGTGGAGCTATTATTATTGACTATCTTTATGAACAAACAGGTATCACCACACCCAAACAAAGTTTTACCTAGATTGAGCTGTTCCTGCCCTGAGGTAGGGATAAAGTTAGACTGACATCCCATAGGCCTTTTATCTGTATTTTCTTTATGATTAAAGTAATACTGAAGCACAGAATCACTTGTCAACTTCTATGTTGATATGCTAAGAGCCCAAATTCAGCCAAGCTAACAGAATTCAGTCCTTTTAGTATACAGAGTTCCTGTATCAGCAATAGTTAATCAATGATTCTCAGAAGGTTCATGACACAGGATTCTGAAGAAAAAATGTAGGTTTTTTTTTCCCTTCAGACCTGGTGACAGCTTCTACAAAGCATGTGCTGTTTCTTCATGAACAACCAGCTATACAGACCCTTCTTCAGTTTACAAACATAGAGATTAGTTGAGATATGTTTGAGTGATTATAAAAGCTATTTTCTGGCCTGGAAAAGAGAGACTAGCCAAGATGAGTTTGCTCTTACAAAAAAAAAAACAAACCTAAAAAACCCACAAAATAAACCCAAAGCCCAACAACCCCTACCAAAACTCCAAACACTTCCAAAAAGATGGCATTATGACATCCTCATAAAGCAAGGAAGCAATAGATGTAGTAATACCTTTCAGCATGTGACAACAGCAGCAGTAACCTCAACAGAAACTACAGGAGAATTAACATTATGGCACCTAATACAGCACTGAGTGAGGGGGAATCCAACCAAACCATCTGTAACTACTGCTGAAGAAACAGCAACTCAGAAATTGATAATGAAAGTAACAAGCTGACTTTCAGCTGGTTTTGTTTGGGTTTTGGACTGTAAGAACCAAAACCTGCAGGTAGCTGCAGTGCTGGGTGGCCAGTCATGGATAGATGAATCTGAATCAAATGACGTCAGAGGACAAGTCCCTGCTTTTTGAGCAGCCAGCTGAGCTCTAAAGGTGACCTTAAAAATTGCAGACAGATAGTCCAACATCAGACGTGAAGCAGCAAATCAAGACTTTTAAAGCTGGTACTCCAGATCATCCTGGCTTAAATGCTGCTTGTGGTGATTCAGTCAGGGCATGTTTTCATCAAATGCCTCTCCCAGAGCAACCTCTAATATATTTTTATTTGGTAGCAAAACAAGAAGAAGTCAAACAGGTATTTAAGAAGTTTTCAGACGGGATAACCCATTTAAATGGAATATACACATACACAAAGTCTGCGAGTGTTTAGTGCTCAGCTAAACCCAACAATTTTGAACAACCTCTAGACTTTTTCCATGTACTTCTTGAACACTCCAATACTAAAGCTTTCCCTTCCCTCCAATTTTGCCTGCTTTGACTTTCCTTTCCACTTTGAAGCAGCCTATCTGGCCATAACTTTACAGGATGATTTGGCCTATGGTATTTTGTTGTCTACTTCCACCTTTTGCAATGTTTGTGTTTGGAGCAACACGAATATCATTTTAAGCAAGTCATACCAAGACTAGTTACTTCTGAGGAAATGGGGTGGGGAAAAGGCAAGCTGTGAGTCTAACTCTGAAAAACCAAACTCCTTGTTTGTACAATGTCCCCATTGTACATTCTTAAACTTAGTTTGCAAATAATGAGGAAACAAGACAACTGGTTATATACTGGAACACCCACCCACTCCTAGAAGACTGTTCTATCCTGGTTTACATAACCCTCAGGCCACAATTATTATTTTACAGGGTCTACCACCTGGTTTTACTCAAATCCTTTAAGAATCTGTGACAACTCTCCTGTGTCTAATACACTCCAGAGAACTGAACTACACCACATTGAAAGTTACACCTCACTGAAAGACAAGCCACTCCTTTTAGAAATAAACCAACACAAAATCTCACAGAACTTGAGACCAAGTCATCTTTCAGTCCAAAACAAGACCAAACCTGGCAGCTTGGTCCTTGACATTTCTGGCTGCAGGCACTAAGCTGAGTTTGTTTCAGGAAGATGCATAACGATCTGGTATCCAGAAGACGGCATTAGTCATAGTCATTTTAGAACATAAGCAAATTAACACAGGAGCCTAATAGCACTAGCACTGTTGTGATCTTCTGAGAAGCAGACTCTGGTGAAGAATCTGTATCTATCTGGTGAAAACATTGTTCTGTATCTGACCCAGTTGATCCTGAACACTGCCACTGCCAAAGCCTACACTTGAAGTTACAAGAGTTCCTGCAAATGTACATTTGTGTACACTTCTGTGAGCTCAAAGACTGATTATATTTGCATGCGCAACATGGGGATTCTGAGAGCCCAGTAGGCAAGGAAACTTTAGCTTACAGATAAACCGGTTGTTCCAAAGGCTCAAAAATACTGTCACAACACCACCAAGATGACTGCAACACAACATTTGTCTTGGCCTGAGGGATTAAGAGCTCTCAAAGCCACCTCACACTTAAGCAAGCACATTTCCTCCATCTTAGCATTAACAGCTTTTATTTTACATTAGAGCACCCAGCAGGCAAGATACACAGGATGATTTTACATTGCATATGGTTTTAAACTACTAAAACACTGCACTAACAGGCAAGTTTTTAGCTGACCTGGTATCCAGAAGCTGGCATTAGTCCTAGTTATTCTAGAACGTAAGGGAGACTTGGATTCAGTTATTTTACAGTGAAGTTATGCTCCAGAAGAGAAATAGTAATGCCAGGCAGTTCTCACAGTATGTGTCAGAACAAATGAGAGAAACATCTTTCACTTGCACAACTTGATGCAAACATGCCGTTTGTGAGAGAAGTCACAAATGCAAGGTCAAGAGATGACCATGAAGTCAAGGCTAACAAGCCTGCATATTTTGCTGACAGATGTTCTCTTACACAGTCAGTCAGTGCTCAGAAATAACCCAATTTCCAGTCCTACTCTGTTTACAGTAGATTTGTGGAATGCTCATGAAGACAGCATCCAAGGCCATTACTGAGGCAATCATTACCTCTCCATAATTAAATGGATCATTAGAGTAGTTCTCTAATGCAATAGCATTAGTAGCATTTTAGGAACAGAAATACTAATTCACCTGGGATGTCCAGACTTCCTTGAGGCAGTGTCAGCTTAGCACAGCCTGCTTTTCCTCCTGCTTACACATGAACTTGGAGAAGCTCTTTGCTTCGCATCATGGCTAAGAGAAGTCAAATGAAGACTCAACAAATAAAAGACAGTATCAGCAGGACTGTCAGGGAGGTTATGCATGAACTGCTTACTTGCTCCCAGCAAACTTGAAAGTAAATAACGGATTTCATTTCCACTTAATGTCAGGAAAGAGTAATTGCCACAATCAACTTCTGTAGTACCTAGACTGACTATCCAGCAGCGACTGACATAAACCACTTTGCAAGACCATCTTTGTAAGTAATAACGCACATAATCTGGTAAATAATAAATCATCATTCTACTTCTTGCTTCTTTGCTTAAGGTTAAGCTGGAACCATAAGATTTAGAGATGATCCTGAAGCAACCTGAAAGGCAACTACATCAACTGCTCCTTCTCCTTTCTAAAGTAACTGTCATATCTGTCTTGGTCCTTGGTTGCTGCCACTTGAGGGTTTTTAACTCTCCAGATACCTGAACGCATACACGAGGCAGTGGAAGCATGGCCATTCTGCCATACCCAGAGATCAGTATCACATCCATGAGCACCCAGGAGTACATCAATACATATGCACAGCTACTCGTACTACTCTTACGGTCATAATCTTTAAACACTTCCTAGAAAGACTCCATCATATGGCAAATGACAGCTGGAACCTGTAGGTGGTCTTAGATCACACTGCCTGTGAAGTCAACTGGATACCTTGAAACTGAACTATCCAAATTTGAAGTTTGTTAATTTCTGATCTCAACCCATAGAAAAGGTCAACAAATAAATGGGAAATGTGCTCAGGTCCTCAAAAGAAAAAAACATCATCATAGAGAAGAACATGCCAAGCATGCCAACAAGTTATTTTAGACAGTAGGTATAATGCAAACCACTACTGCTGCCACCAATAATAATAATGATAAGGGAAATAACAAGGGAAGAGAATACAACCGCTCACCACCCAGCGACCGATACCCAGCCTGACCCAAGCAGTGATCTAGCCCTTCCAGGTAACCGCCCCCAGTTTGCATACTGGGCATGACATGCTGTGGTATGGAATACCTTTTTGGTCAGTTTGGGTCAGGGGTCCTGTCTCTGCTTCCTTCTGGCTTCCCCTCCTCCCTGGCAGAGCATGAGACTCACAAAGTCCTTGGTCAGAGTAAACATTCTGACCAGCAACTAAAACCACCAGTGTCATCAGCACTGTTCCCAGGCTGAAAGTCAAAAACACAGTGTTGCACCAGCTACTAAGAAGGAGAAAAATGACTGCTACTGCTGAACCCAGGACACCAACGCTTTTTTTTCCCCCCTTTCTTTTTGTGTATACACTTGCAAAAAGGGAACGAAAATGGATTCAGAAATATACTGACTAATTAGATGAAACCAACACTGGCTTCAAGACTCTGTGTGAGCTAAGCAAAAGATGTAGAAAGAGAACTTAGGCGATGATAAAACAAGCATCTAAAAGCCGACTCTTAGAACATGCTGCTCCCTAATTTCCCATCTGGTTCTTCCAGAAATGTTATGGAGTATTTTTATGTATTTGTCGTGGTTTAAACCCTAGCCAGACAGCTTGTTCACTCACTCCCAGTGAGTGGTGCTGGGCTGAGAGCAATCGAGCGCCCCCACCGGGGGCTCTCCCCTTCCCCGCTCCCGGAGGAACGGGGAGGAGGATCGAAAGAGTGCAACTCCCACGGGTTGAGACAAGAACAGTCCAGCAACCAATGTACAACACAGATCACCACTGCTACCACCAATGACAACAATGATAAGAGAAAATAACAAGGGAAGAGAATACAATACCACCGGCCAAGGAACGAGTCCGACCCAGAAGCCTGTGTCCTTCTGGGTAACTCCCAGTTACCCCGCACCCCGGGCATGACGTGCTGTGGTATGGAATACCTCCTTGGCTAGCATGGGTCAGGGGCCCCATCTCTGCTTCCTCCCGGCTTCCCCTCCTCCCTGGCAGAGCATGAGCCTCACAAAGTCCTTGGTCAGGGTAAACATCACTTAGCAACAACAGAAAACATCGGTATCACCAGCACTGTTCCCAGGCTGGAAGTCAAAACACAGCACTGCACCAGCTACCACGAAGGAGAAAAATGACTGCTACTGCTGAACCCAGGACAGTAATATATTAAGCACAAATATATTAAGCACATTAAACTGAATTCTTTAAATGAAAATATCCTCTTTTCTATAAAGATCACTACTCCCTTTGTGTACAAACTGCAGCTTGTTAATCTTACCTTTAAAGCACCACAAAGCTCAACTGTATCTGCATCATCTACTACAGTTATTCGGAAGTTTGGAGTCTGCAGGAGTTCTTTGAAGAGAAGGCCATTTTCCAAGATTTTGCTTCCTGTTGAGAGAGAGAAAGGAAGGCTAAGAAATGAATTATTTATTTGGGTATTATTTAGCATTTCCTGTGCAAGCCAAAATATTTAAAAGCAGAGACAAGATTTTTCTACCTTCATCCTAAACAGAGTCCTGCTTTAAGTGACTAAGGATACGTCTACATTGCACTTCAAAGCTCTGCTCCGAGTTACTCTGGACTACTTTGTAATTCATTTTCTGCTCAGCAACAGATTCTCAAAAACAATTCCATTAATTATCTATACTCTTTTTTTGATCAGTCCCTTAAAAAACCCAGTTAATAATAAAACAAAGCTGAATTAAAAATACAGCAAATGCAATTCTAACCATTATTTCAAGGCCTGAATTCCAGAGAAAAAACTGCTGATGAAGGCATGTCAAGACTGTTTTATTAATTAAGCATGTTACCACTGGCAAAAGTCTCTAACCAATAACAAGTAATTCAACTTTTCAAAAATAAGTTCACTGCAAAAGCTGTTAATAAAAGGTCATAAAGCTAAAAATGCACAAAACTGTAAAAATTAACACTAAAAAATTAACATGAGCTCTGTGCTATTATGTACAACTATCTGTAAGCATATGCACACAACACACACATATGCCTAGCTAGATACTGTGAAAGCCAAGACCAGGCACATCCTTGTGCTGCAAAAGTACGCATCAATACAGAACTACGACAATGTCTAGCTTTTGGGGAAACTGATTATTCTGTGAAATTAAAATAAGATATTGATACCTTAAAGAAAAAAAAAACCACCAAAAAAACAATCCAAATACCTTGCTCTCTGCTCTTGTGAGACCTCACTTAAGAGTATTGTGTACAATTCTGGTGTCCTCAACATAAAAAGGACATGGAACTATTGGAGGAGGGCCACAAGGATGATCAGGGGACTGGAGCACCTCCTGTATGAAGACAGGCTAAGAAAGTTGGGGCTGTTCAGCCTGGAGAAGAGAAGGCTGCGTGGAGACCTCATAGCAGCCTTCCAGTATCTGAAGGGGGGCTACAGGGATGCTGGGGAGGGACTCTTCATTAGGGACTGTAGTGATAGGACAAGGGGTAACGGGTTAGAACTTAAACAGGGGAAGTTTAGATTGGACATAAAGAGGAAGTTCTTTACTGTAAGGGTGGTGAGGCACTGGAATGGGTTGCCCAGGGAAGCTGTGAATGCTCCATCTGGTGTTCAAGGCCAGGCTGAACAGAGTCTTGGATGACATGGTTTAGTGTGAGGTGCCCCTGCCCATGGCAGGGGGGTTGGAACTAGATGATCTAAAGATCCTTTCCAACCCTAATTATTCTACTGTTCTATGATCTGTGATCATAACACCTGAGCTGGAACACAGAACATATAATTATTTATTCATATAAAGCCATGCAGACCCAAGAAAAATCTTAAGCACAGTAATAAAATAAAGCAGTTTGTTACATGGAGAGTGATAAAAAACATGCTTAGTGTTTTGCTTGCTAAGGTCACAGCCCTAGTGAGACTAGGTAAAACTGCCCCCCTCTCTCTCCTTCTATTCCTAGTATTGTCCTAGTACATTTCAGGAAATTCAATATTAAAACAAGAAGAACTCAACAGTTTCTGAATAAATGTTACTGTTTTCAACATGAGCTGGCTGTTGAGCTACCTGCTGTGCAGCTGTGAGGACAGGAGTATATTTTAAACATTTTTATTACTTGGAACAGTACCTATTGTGGTTTCACAGAATTTCTCTGCTGCCACCTCATTAGCAATGTTAGCTCCCATCAACACACTGATGTCTATTCCCATCTTCTCTCGAATAATGTCAGAGATCAGTTTGAGTCCCTCCGGGCCTTCATCTATACCCTGCAGCCAAGATTAAATGGGAATACTAAGAAGTCATTCATTAGACACAGTAGAGAAGAAAGCACATTACAATTAGTCTTGTCCATGGGTGAGAAGTACAACAAGGCCTAAGGCAGAGACTAAAGATAACATACTTGCTACTGGTGAAACATCTGCTGTTTTGTGACCCCTTCAAGCGTCTTCATTAAGAATTGGGGCTAAACTCTAGATAATGGTAATAGTTAGGACTTAATCTTAAGAGGTGCTGAATATTCGCCTTTGTTAGTTCAGAATCTCAGTTGTTTATTATCAGTGTATTTTTAATAAAACCAGTGAAGCATCACCAATCCATCAGTTGTGAATCAGGCCTGCACGTGGATTTGAAACTGCACCAGAACTCACAAAATGGCATCCCAATAACTTGTTTTGTGAAGAGGTATCTCAATTGAAATATCAGAGGGATTCCCTTGTATATAATGCCAACAACAGTTTACAAGTAGAAACCCAGTTTAATCACTATTACAAATGGAATAGCCATTTACAAGACACATAGAAAGCTGAACAGCTGAGAATAACTTCTATGGATATTCTTAATCTGCATTTATAAGGCACAATCTGCAAAGCATGAAAGTAGAGGCAGAAACAGGACCCTGAACAGAAAAGGATCACCCCAAAGATTATGCTGCAATGAAAAGTCTGGTACCCTGAATTGCCTGCACCAAGAATTCCAAATGAGACCACCTTCTTCTCACAAAATCTTTTTCTCCTAGCCTGCTAAATGCAGGCTCCTTTTGAATTTCAAGCAGACAAGCTCCTGAAATGGTCTGTCTTTTCCACGCTACACCACCCTTTATACAGTACTATTTTTTAATGCTGTGGAGTCAGTATTTTTGAGGATTGGTAATTTTAAATTATGACTTGAAGGCAAAAAGGCAGAGTGGTCCTCTACTGCTTCCAGATACACATCCACAGACATTTGTATGTTGGCAGTAGTGATCAAGAGACATGAAGAAATGCCAGTATAAAACCAGACAATTAGGCTAATGCCTGCATTTCTAATGCTTGCATTTCTGCCTTATTTTTCAATATGTATCACTTATTGCACAGCTCTGCCTTCTCACCTGTAATGAGCCATATAGAAAGGATGTGAAACCAAGCACACATACACATGCTGTATTTTTCCCTCGAAGTGCCAAAAATGTCTCCACAAAAGGGAGCAAGGCCCCTACTCCTAAGCAAGCAGTTTATAATAAACAGAAAAGCATGCATACATTGGGAACAACTCCAAAAAATGTGAGTACGTACACAACAATTATTCACCCAAGTGAAAGGAGATCAGAGAGATTTCGGTGCCAAATTCTGCTCCACTATGAAACAGATGCAATTTCTGACAAAGTCGGAGAACTGCACCTGTTTCTTGCAGAGTTAAATCCAATACTGAATGACAGATGACGGGAGAAAAAACAAACACCAAGCCCTTCCCCAAAAACAAGGCTCCAAGTTGGGAATTTCCACTAGGCAGCAATGATCCCCAGGCAATGCAAGTCCAAATCTGTGATCTTACTGCTTGCATCCTAATATGCCTGAGATCCCTGGGGCCCATGTATATTTAAATGAAAATGAGACTGATGTGGAGGCTGCCTGAAAAATGTTTTGAATGACCATCTAGTCTGCTTCCTGTGCTCACTGATGTACTGTACCACAAGCTGTATACAATTCCTCCCCGCATACCTACTCAATGATTAGCTTGTTTTATTTAGACACTCGTGATCAGAACTTATGTAAAGCAACACAGCTGCAGAAGTTTCAATAGGAACACAGATTAACTACCAAATGTCTCTATTTACCAAAGGCTTTGCTTTATTATTAAGTATTAGGCTCTGCTTGAGGATTAGACTGTAGAAAAAGGGGAAAGAAAAATAAAAAAAAGACTAAAAAGACTGACATGCCACACTACCAACTTGCCAAGCAATTTAGAAAGCGCAGAAACAAGACCTCCCACTAATGATGTTTTTAAGAGCAGAACTGCACTTTAACTGCCAAAGTTAATACAAGCCACTTTAACAGCATTAGTGTTGAGCATAATGAGACCACTAAAATATGACTTTGATGAAAACAACATGCATAAAGAACCTGCAAAAGTAAAGGAGAGAATGCACTTCTGCCTCTACTACCTAGTTTCACTGCTGTGTTAAATCTCTGCCCTTTCTTCTTAAATGACACCTTTAATGATGCACAGTTATGCCTTTTCATAAAGGCTAACATGTACTGTGTATTCATCTGTGAAAAAAAAATGCAGCAGCCTCATATCATTTCTTTCAAAAGACCACTTACCGATGCAGTGTCACAACGTGCCAGTGGGAAGCTCCCTGGTAATCAACTCAGCTTTGCATGGCAGGTGCCGCTATTTTATACACAGTAAACTAAGTATGGGCTTCCTGTTATGTTGAGGAGTTTGTCTGTTTGAGGTTTGGATTTTTTTTATTTTCCAACATAAGTACACTCCCCCCCTCCTTTTTTAAACATGGGCACTTATCAACACTGCACTGGTAATCAAAACCCCGAGCAGTAATCCCCACAGGAATTCAGGCCCAGACTCTGATTTCAGATATGCTGACATAAATTCCCATTTGTTTCACTGATTTCATCAATTATTTCTGTCATTGAGGGCATGGGAACATAAATCATGTTTAGCAAACTGAAGGAGAGGAAAGTTTACCTTGAGTTTGCAAAAGAAAGAAGCATAAATGCACAACTTGAAACTTAAGGGCACTTAGGACAACTGTATGGGTTTGATGTTATGCACTCCATTTTTAATATCTCCTTGTTTTATCCTACAATACAAAAAGCTTTTTCTGCAAAATGCAGTAAGTGCAATTAGGAAGCATTACTTTTTCCTACATCTCAACAATGTATCAGGTCAGCAGTGGCCAAACAATATGGATTTGATGGGCTTAGTTAAGCAAACCAAAAGACAAGCTTGCAGTAAGTAGCAATACAGGGTTTTGTTCTTTCTGAACACAGCTCGATATAATTTTTCAGACATGATTGTAAACAAGGGAATGTGTGCTCCAAAAATGGCATACTCTAAAATAAGTACAAAGCAACAACAAAACAGAATTTTCCAAATCTTATGGGAATAGCTTGTTCTTTGCAGCTCATCCACACTCAAAAATTCTCCTGCCACCAAAACTACAAACGCTGCAGTGAAACACTTCCTGCACCTCTGCCCCCTCCTATTTCCTATGCTCCAATTGTCTTTTTTGGCAAAGCTGACCAGACTCTCTTGTTGCAACATAATATTTGACATGAGCAAAAGCACTGTCCTCTTAATCACATGAAACTCTCTCAGCAGTTCCTAAAATGATCAACTCAGTGTGTGGGATGTGCGTTAACAATTGAAGCATTATGCTTGTGCTCTGTTCTCCATCTTTTGATGCATTTGGAAACAATCAACAGAAGACTGGAGAGCATTTACTCTCTCATTTTACAAGCCTTGGGAACAGCCTCATTCTCCTCCTCCTGCAAGCACTAGCCAAAAATAAAGCACTGCAACCAATCCACTAATGACCAACACAAATTCCACTCTTACATCTAGAAATGCTCAATGGAACAACTGAGTGAATAATGTAAAGGGACTTTCCAGCTCAAAATATCATGCCATCTTGGGTTAGAAGATTCCATGACATGGTCTCAGTTATTAATGCATAGTATTTATTATACCTTTATGAGAGTTATACCAAGCGCTTTCTTGGGTACTCGTCCTGTGATTTCATCGCAGACTTTGTGAATGAACTGATGAGGAATGACAAAAACCAGCAAGTCTGCATCCTGTACAGCTTCATTAAGGTTTGGGACAGCAACCTGTGTAATTATGGGAGAGAAAGGCCACATAACTTCTTGAAATTAACACTACACACAAGTATTATCCGATAGGTAAATCACATTTTTGTCTTATACTGAATGCTACAAACTATTGTGCTTCATCACTGAAAACGAGCAGTAACATAAACTTCCCAGAAAATCAAAAGAATTCAGAGTTTCAAAGCAGCTATTTTACGTCCTAAAAGGAGCATCTTTACAGCCACCAACATGGTTAGTGCCATGAAAATTCAGAACGTTCCTTAACATTTAAACCAGTACTTTTGAGTAAGAAAATATGAATAAGAAGCTGCCATCTCTTTGACATATTTTTTTAATAAAGTATTGTATGCAGAAAAGTAGTTTATTTACTTAGTTCCTTATACACTCAACTTTCTTCTCCAGGCCTCTTACACCTATTAGTTTATGTTCTTTCTCTGCACTCATAGATTTTGTTTACCCTTTAAGAAGGTGACCTACTTTGAAGTCACTTGCCAGACTCCATTCTTCCTAACACTTGATGACCACCTTAAAATAACAGGTTTAAAATTCAGCAATAAGCTCTACAAACCAATAAAGAGATTAAACCTGAATGAGCAGAAAGTGGGCAGCAGAAACACCGCTTCTGGGAAATGGCATTTCAGCATTATTGTTAAAGTGAAATCTGCATTGCACAGCAATTCACATTTTTCCTGCCCAAAATCTCTATAGGAAAAGGCTGTAGCAGCTGACAATTCAGTAACACCAAGAGTCACCAACTGCCCACCGACCATCATGTTACACCAACAAAGAACAGATGCAGAGACCCAGTATCCTGCCCTGGCAATACCATACCTAACACACTGATGTGACTGCACATAGCTGAAAGCTCAACTGAGAGCCAGATAAACTGCAAATGTTTTGCAGTCTGCTTGAGCAATACTCTAGTTCTCCTGTAATACTCCCTAAGGATTTTAGAGTATTTTAAATCCTCTTCAATTATCACTGACCAGCCAGCACCCTTCCAGTGCCGAGGCCAATTTATTTTTTGTACTAGGTATAATCAGAGCTTGTTATTGTGCTTCTTTTGCTTTCCTGTACAGAAGCTGAAGTAAATAAATGAAATGGTGATACTGGGAAAAAATAAGAAATAACAATAATATAGAGTACAGTGCATTGGATTTGCCTACCTGCACAATTGCAGAATTTTACTTGTTCAAATCTTTGATCTCATCAGTAAAATAGCATACAGCCTCAATTATTAGAACCCCTAAAGGTGTTAGCAAAACAACTTTCTACCTCCATTCACAGCAAGAGCAACATTCCCTCTGCTCCATAACTAGAATTTAGCTTCTGAGCCTTACCACATTATCTGGCAGCTTGTATCCAGGGAGGTATTTTACATTTTCATGGTCATTATTTATGATCTCTGTCAGTTTTCTCCCATTAATATTCTCCTCGAAGACCCACATCTTCACCGTGGAGGCAAACTTCTGCAGTTTTTTTACATTATTGCCTACGATTTTGGCAACCGCAGAACCCCTGCAGGAAACAAAAATATTCTAATAAAGTTATGATTTTGCTCTAAGAGATTGTCTTTAAAATAAACAGAAACTCACAGCACTTTGACCTAGTAAAACAAATGGAAAAGTACACCAGTCATTCACATGTGCTGCTCCCTCTCAAGTCTACCTAGTGCAGGTTGGACTGAAGCATTTACTGAAAGTATCCTTACTTATTTTGTCTGCTTACTGGCTATCCAGTCAGAGTTTGGGTTACTGTGTTTCCACAAATCAAATGCATTATATCTTCAAAGCAAAAGAAGTTAATTTTTACCTTTAAGGAATTGGAAGCTTTCTTTGCTAAGGTGACTAACTCAGCAGTTGCTGTGCAATACTGACATGCATTTAAAAGCCAAGAAGCATTTCTATCTTGCATAACTTATAAGCTTTATGGTTATGCTGCCAGCCTCACAGAATTTAACTGTTGCAACAGGATCCTCTGAGTTTGCAGGCAGTCAATTCCATTACTGTTAAGTTAGCCCCATTTCCTCCCCAGGAACAGCACACAGTGAAACCTGTAGGACAGGGATCAGTTTCGTTGCTCAAATTTCTAAACAATGATGAAATTAATCAGAATTACTGAAGCTACTTACATGAAGAGCACCTAATGCAACCTCCCCTTCCTAGCCTGAATGCTATATGAAAGAATAAGATGAAATTTAGCAAACCTCTTAACCTAACTTCCTTTCCTGGGACAAAAATGTGGCTTCATAATTACTGATAACCAACTAAGCAGACAAAAATAATTTAGAAAGATGCAATAAAAATACAGAGTCACCAGTCTAAGTCTTATGTATGTGTCTGTGGAAATGCATACTTTATTAGGAGGTAAGAACACTTGAACTTTTCCAATCTAGTGATACTTACACACTCCCCTAAATTTATTATGGATATTGCTTGTAATAAACTCGTAGCTGGCAACTAAACCAAACAGATTCATTCCACTCCAGGAGCTTTAAGTATGGCACAACTCATTGTGCTGTATTCAAAACGTGTGCTATCGCAGGCCTAAGGTCACTTTCTAAGTTGTGGCAGAAAATTATTACATTATCTTAAGCGGACCTTCAGTTAAACCAGAAAACCGTATGTCTTAAGAGACTGGAATTTGTTTCTCTAACAGTGCTTCACACACTACGAATTCCCCTGGGTTACGAAGCGATACAGAAGCCACAACTGTCAACCATCTCTTATCAAGCTCTTATTCTAGATTTCCATGCACACAGAGTGGTATCCTCCGCAATGACAGACAACTCACCAGCTCATCCCCAAATTCCAGATCCACACAAACAGTATGAATCACATTCAACACAACACAGGTATGTGTTCCTCAGAAAGCTGTTTGAGTTCCTTGAACAAAAAGCATGTTTACTACTGCATATTTATATACAAAGTCTGGATCCTGGCAAACCACTGTTTTCAGTTTTGAACTTCATATTCCATGTGCTTAGTGTTGATAGACAGGACTGATTCAGCAACTGTCCAACTGGGATTTTGAAACTGCTTGCCAGCATAAAGTTTGGCAGTGTGTACTACTTGAATGGGACATTAATTCCATTACTATTTAACACTTGAATGCCTCAAGCTGTCTTTTTTTCAGCCTGTGAACATAGTATTAACAAAGCAAAGATTTGCATTCAGTTCCTGAATTCAAGAAGATTCTGCTGACTGGGTTCTCTGGCTCTTTGTTTTGTGTTATGTTGCAACAACTGCTGTAGAACTGAATTAAGCAAGGTCAAACAACTGTCACCAAGTGCAAGATAGCTCTGTGTAAGGTGAAATACCAGCTTCCCACACCTGTTAATCCAACAAGCAAGCCTGTATTCTCTTCTGTGCCACAAATACTCAGTGTGGACTGTATGGCCTATCTTGTATACTCCTGATATGAGCCAAAGGAACAGGAATTTTTATTTATTCCTAGCAGTAACATGTCTAGTGTGAGCTAGGCTATGAGACCTGGTGCCTGCAACAGCGCAGTTACACAAGAAAAAACATAGTGAAAGATTCCCTCATCAGTCTTAACCCTGACATGCTCTGAAGGATGGTTAATGCTATTCACGTAATACAAGGTATCTGCATCCCAAACAGCAGTTCTTTTCCTATGCCGAAATACAATCACATACGTTTATTTAGCACCTCCGAAGAACTGTATCTGATGCTTGCTGAGCAAGACCACTCACTCTGTCTCATCTCCCACCCTTCACTGTTTCAGTGTATCTCGGTCTGCTTTCTCCTCATCCCTTTAAAAGCAAAGCCCAAAATCCAGGAATTCCTAAACTTGCCCTGATACCAGAATCAGTGGAGGTTACAACATGAAAGTGCAAACAGTATCACTAGTTCTAGCTCTATACCACTCGCCCCTGTAAAAGTTTTACCTCCCATTTTTCTACAGCAAGTTTCTAGCTGTATGAACTCCTGTGTCCCGGTAGCTTGCCTTCTCATTCCAAACTCTTTCTGTTCAAGTTATGCAATCAGATTAATTAACAGCTGGTTCCAGCAAAAGACAGGGATAAATTCCTGCTGTGCACACTTTGCTCACTTGCCCTGGAAGAGTTATCAGAAAAGTGGGCTATAGTACATGCCTGAGGCAGCTTTTGCTGAATCTGGGCACTGCCCTAAATTCTGAGGCTCCAAGGCATATTCCCAAGGTGTGCTCTCTTCACATTCATGAAATCTTATTTTATCCCCCATTTTAACAATCCTAATACAATCACTTATCCAGCACCTGAGTAACCCTAAGTGGTCAAGGCCAGCAAATAGCATAGCTCCTGCTCTTCCCTGCCTTGCAAGCAACCTGTCTTATCCCTGTCCCATGATCGCATCAGGTGCTGAGTGACACCTGCCAAGTCAACTTCGTTGTTAAGGTGACCTTCCCTCTAGCAAAACTACCAAACCAGTCTGACTGGAAGGAGTTTATCATCCAAGATGATTGGCTCAACCCTTCTAAATGCTTGCAATCCTGCCTAGCTCCTTTCACAGTTTTTTTTCATCCCAGATAGAGGTTAAAGTATTGTGAGAGGCCAAAGACCTACAGCGACTGGCACCTGTGGGACTCACACAGAACCCAACAATCTCCAAACTGCTACAAGATGCCAAACCCCACCCAGTTCAACTACTTACATGCTTACAATTTGGCACCTGTCACACACTCCTGTAATTCAATCTTCAAAAATATATAACTCCAAAATATCAATGATCAGATGTATATGAATGCTTCAGTTTCTTTCCATTTACCTGTTTTTGAGCTTTAAATGCTTTCATTTTAAGACTACAGGCCCCCAGTCCGAAAAGGCACTTGTGATAAACACATAAATGCATTGGCTTTTGCAAATCATAGGTGTGGTTATGTGGATATAACTGTACCATTTTACAATAACAGAAACAAAGACACAAGATTAGACAACAAGTTAAAAAGGGCCAGAACTCTTGAGAAAACGGAGTCACATAGCAAAAGAATTTGTAAAGGTAAAAGAAGGGGGGGGCGGGGGGCGCTTGATATAAGAAAAGCTAGTGCCTGAAAAACATAGAGTTAAAGTACTTTTTAATACTTTAGAGAACAATGTTTATGTTGAAAATCTGTGGAATGTAGTGGCAGCACTAAACATGAATTAATTGTCTCACACTAGTCTTCTAAAGTATCTTTAAAGAAGAATGTTTGTATTGTAAGCGTGGTAACAGGATTTAGTGGCCCCACTAAACATGAATGAGTTATTTCACACCATCCTTATACTTATCAGTTAGTTTAGAGACAGAGCCTCCCAAACATCTGCTAGCTTGGGATACTCCTTGTCTGCCTATCCTGCAATAAATTTTGCAGGAAGGTCACACTGTTTAAAATCTTTGCTAGTTATCAGAAGAATTATACAGATATGGCTGGTTTCAGCTAGCTGTGTGATTACTGGGGCGTCCAACTGTGCCAAAGGTGAAAAGTACACTGTAAGGAAGACTGCTTACTTCATCTTGAAGACCTCTACTCACAAGAGGAAGACTGCTTACATCATCCTCAAGATCCCTGCCCACAATCACCGGAGAGCAGTATGCAGACGCCAAGAGGAGGGGACTTATGATAATAAGTTCTGGGAGTTAGTTACAATATTCCCTGCCTATATGCGGGAATTAAGAATATGCATGTAACTAATGTAATAGCAAAAGTATATAAACCTGTAACAAATGCTAATCACTCACGCCTCTGGCTACAGTCATGCGCCCAGCACTGTTGCTTTTGCTTTATTGACTTCGTCCCTCAATAAAACCTTGTTATCTTGTTTAGAGGAGTGAGTTTGTATTTCACACACTTACATGCACACAGGTACACAACTCAAGTCCTATTTAGTTCAATGGTTGCATATATTATCGAATCACAGTGCTCTTCGCAGACAGGGTTTGGCATCTGCCATCCCTTGGACTTTGAGGAAGAAATCACCTACCTCTCCAATAATTATTGTTTTCAGAAACATATTTTTTTTGGGGGGGAGGAAGAGCAGGAGATGAGAAAGCTGTTGCACATCGAATAATTTGCAATTTAGGTTTTTGTTTTTTTTTTATTACTTTGGTTTCTGCTTTCCTGCCACACTGCTATCACATGTGAAATAAGCTATAAGTTATTTGAATACATTCATCCCCTAAGAAAGAAAAAAGCTGATGCCCCATAATGGCATTATCTCTTTCTCTCAGCATCACAGATACAGGCATTTTGCCACCCAAACTCCATCTCATTAGGCCTGAACTTTTCTTGAATCAGTTAAACTGATCCAATAGCTGAAAACAAAACATATATGCACATGGTTATTGCTACTAGGTAGTATCTACAAATCCTTCTGCTTCTGCCAGTGTTTCACAATGAATCAAATATAAATGCAGTCAAACTTCCTGTAAAACTTCTTTGCTAGATCTCGAGTATGAAAGAACAGCAACACTACTCCCAAAAAAACAGATAGGGTTAACTGCGTAATTTCCTTCTGACACAAACTGCAATGCACAGTATCTCCCCGTTTGTTTTACAAACTAGTGCAAAGCAAGCAAGAGATGCTGCGCTGAAACATCAGCCATTCCCTCAGCAAGCCCTCACAAAGAAAAACAAAAATATCAGTAGCTGCCAGGTTGTAACTGCAAAACAGCACCAAAAGCCAACTGGATGAAGGGAGCAGAGAGTGAGCAACAAGTCCATGGTCACCCTCACAGAACACCAGTAAGTCTGGTTTAATAAAACACAATACCTTGCTCTACACCAAACTCCCCCTAGTTTAGATTTGATGTCCTAAAAACAACGTTATCAGAAATAACATACGCTTAGTGCTTGAAGTGACCAACTGTGAAGATACATTTATATAATAGATTGCAGATGCCTTATACATTGTAAATAGGGATGCAGGGTAAAAACAGTGATGATGAATTGTACAAAAATTGAAGACAAGACAAATGACGGTTAATGTGTAAACTTTTGAGATTATTAGTAAACCTATTGCTTTCAGTGGACACAAGACTGAGTTTATTTAAGTCTAATTAGTGATAGATGCAGCAGTAAAGCCATGTCTCAAGCCTTCACTGTGCCTCAGCACAATTAATTTGAAAAGGAAAACATACCTCAAATAACGGAGAGTTTTACAACCCTTCTTTGAGCTACCCTGGGAAACACTAACATGGGAAAACCACTTCTGGAGCTAAGTGGACGTGCTACAGAGCCCTACAGACAGTACTAAGATGATGAAATAGACATTAAAAACACATTCAGCATCTTTAATGTTTACATCACCTGACACCGCATAAACCACACAACAAACACCAGGTTATAAACAACCCAACGTAACTTCAATGAGCAGACAAGTGCCTACAAGCACGCCAAAACAGGATGCTCGATTCTGCCCCTTCTCCCTCCGTTTACTTCAGGGCAATTCCACTCCCTCTGAGGGATACCCAGGGCTAGAGAAGCCAACCCGTATGTCACAGCCACAGACCCAGCCACACTGGCAGACACCGGAGACACTACGCTTCACCACCAGCACCCGGGGCCACCGTCACCCCCGAGTACAGCGCGACCACGGCGCGAAACCCTCAAGCTCCGGGCCGGGGCACGACGGCACGGGGCGCGAAGCGAGAGCAAGGCACGGGCGGGCACAGCCTTCGGGAAGGCTGGGCTGGGGCCGCCGCTGAGGCGTCAGCCCTCTCAACACTCACCAGTTCCCCGAGCCCACGATGCAGACCTTGAGGGGCGCCGCCGAGAGCGCCATAGTAGCACCACCCACGCCCCGCCAATGGCCGCGACGACGGGCTCCGGGAAGCGACCGCCTCCACGCTACCCCACCTCCGCCGTCAACAGATCACCCTCACCTCTCTCCGCCCCTGCGGCCTGCCGGGAAGTGTAGTTCCGCCCCTCGTAGCTCCCGCCCTCTCGCCATGGCCCTGTGGAAAAGTCGGTGGCTCTCGCCATGATACTCAAAACTGTTAGTCTTTCAGGCACTCTGCCACATCCTTATTTGCACCGTTTTCAACTCAACTAATACCACACATTTCATTCAGGTATGTCATGACAAAACTCTTTTGTTCTCATCTAGTGCTGGAGCAGTGGTGCATAGCTTCAGAGTAAGTGTGTGAAGCACCAAAGTGTAGAGGAACAAGCATATTAGGCAATAAAGCAGGGAGAGAAATAGAAGTGTTTTCAAATACTCCTTTCCTCTCAGCCTTTAGCCAAAATCATGTTCTCTGTCCCCATGTTTTTCCAGGGGAAGATGTGGATTTGTTGTTGGTTTAGTGGTGAAAGGTGGTTTTGAATCATCTGTGATTACCTTTTTCATCAAAGGTGTTTTTAAAGGTTGGATCCTTGAGGTTTCTTCTAACCTAGTATTCTATGACTCTACTGACACCTTTGGCTGTATTAAATAATAGCCTAGAAGCACTCAAGTACAGTGCTCTTGTCTCTGTACAAAGATCGTGACCTCCTCTCTTCACTGGAATATACCGTCTCTCAAGACAATACCCTATTGAGCTTTTCAATGCAGGAAGATGTGTCAGACTTCTCTTGCACCTTTTCCAAGTGATTTGCGAGGGGCCTGATGGTATTAGATTTCCCTGAAATACGCCTTCAATTAGAGGCTACCTGAGAAGAAAAGTTTGACCAGCTTGGTTGTCTTTTGGGTCATCATAATTGAAGCAATGTGAACTGCTACCTGGTGTTCTCCTTTCTGTTTAAAAGTGGAAGTTTCATTTACCCCTCTGCTGGTTTGCTACCACATTAAACTAAACCAGTTGGTGGGGAAAAAAAGAAATAAAACAAAACATGCTTAAGTCCAGTCTGCTTGCAGTATCTTCATTTCCACTGTAGCATTTCCTAATTATTAAGTCCTGTGAGGGACTATTTTCTTGTGCTTGCCTTAAGCATGCGGAGACCAGGGTTGATAATATCCAGCCTAGCTTTTGAAGGATTGGAAAAGGGGTTATCTAAGTGCTTAATGAAATAGGGGAATGAAAATGAGGCAAAAAGTACATACTTAACATAAGCACTTCAGGGTCATTTTTATGATCTGATTGAAAAGGCTAACGTCTTCATTAAGCTAAATGTGAAATACAAAAAAAACAGGAAAAATGTAATTTCTAAAGGTTTTTTCATAAAACTGACAGTTCTTCAACAGTCTAGAAGACTATGGCTCATCAGTCTGCAGTATTTTATGAGGTTGTGTATGTACTTCTGTGTTTACACAGAATTGTCGTTGTCTTACTGGCAGCCTGCAACCTTAACTTTAACGTATATCTTCAGACAAAAATTGCAGCCTCGTTAAGCAGTTCAAGTTTATACAAGTTCTGTTAACAGCCAATATATCAAGTAAACACATATTCATCTTGAAGAATCCTTGGATGCATTGCAGAAGTACATTGCGAAGGCCTACTCATACCATTCCAATTACAGACTTGCCTATTTGAACAGATTATTTCAGCTGGAAGACACCTACAACAATCATCTAGTTCAAACTGCATGACCAATTGAGGGCTTGTCCTGGGTTCAGCAGTAGCAGTCATTTTTCTCCTCCTTGGTAGCTGGTGCAGTGCAGTGTTTTGACTTTCGGCTCGGGAACAGAGCTGAGAACAATGATGTTTTGGTTTGGCCAAGGACTTTGTGAGGCTCATGCTCTGCCAGGGAGGAGGGGAAGCTAGGAGGAAGCAGAGACAGGACACCTGACCCAAACTGACCAAAGAGGTATTCCATACCACAGCACGTCATGCCCAGGAGGTAACTGGGAGTTAACCGGAAGGGCTGCGAGACTGCAGGGTTGGAGGAGGTATGGGTCGGTGCTTGGTCGGGTCTGGGGGGTGAGTTACCGGTTGGCTGGTGGTGAGGTGTTGTATTCTCTTCCCTTGTTATTTCCTTTATCATTGTTATTATTGGTGGTAGCAGTAGTGATTTGTGTTATACCTTAGTTACTGAGCTGTTCTTATCTCAACCCGTGGGAGTTGCATTCTTTCGATTCTCCTCTCCGTCGCTCCAGGAGTAGGGGGAGGGAAAGAGATGGGGGGGGGAGTGAACGAGTTGCCTGACTGGGTTTAAACCATGACAGGGCTGTTGGTCAAGTTTAAACATGGTATTAAGTGCTTCATTTGCCTTTACACATGCTGATGAAAAAGCATCTGTGAAGAACAAAACCAATTTATAAGGTCAGTAAATAGTTCTCAGATTCTCTAGTTGCATGGCCTAGACCACTTAGATGCAGTCACTGCACTTACAGCTTAATCTGTTGATCTGTTTTAACTATTGTTAAGATATTGTTGGGATGTTATTTCCTCTTTTTCTGAGTTCTCTATTTGTCTGATAACCTAGCATTTATCAAAATCTTTCAAGCTCCTTTCAAAATTCAGTACCCAGAAAAAATAAGACATCAGTGCTAATCTACAATTGCAAGGAGTCTTGTACAAAGCAGAAACATCCAGCAACTAGGAAATACAGGAGAGCTACAGTATTCTGAAATGTTTAGCTTTAATTGCAAATTTCTGAAAATAATTCTGATTACCTACTTGGAAAATTTTGATTTAATATGCTGATTTTCTCATTGAATGGACTACTATGAAAATATAGTTTTCTTAGAATACATTTAAAAACATTAGATAGCAGTTTCATTTTCTTCTTAGTGTTCTATACAAAATACAGGAATCTGATTTACATATAGTTAGCTAATTCTTGCACTGGAAAATATGGGGTTCTTGAAGCACATCCTGAATTATAATAAATTCTGATGGTTTTGTAAGAATTTCTTTTATCATGTTGTGTGAGCATGGGACTGGCAAAACTGTGACTTCTTTAGTAGTCTAAACTCTTTAGCCTAACTATGGATATGGATTAGGTAGCACATCTCAGCCCTTCTGAGTAGATGACCTCAAAGGGAAGAAGATACAACAATTAATATTTTCATAAGATGCCTGAGTTTCTAAAGCATCTTAAATACAGATATGAGAATGAGGTCTTGCCTAAATTAAGTACAGATGTAACTGAACAGTAAAAAGAGCTCTTCGTGTCCCACAGTCTTTGACTTTTTTGAAGGTGTACAGAATGGGAAGAAATTATGTATGGATTTTAGGGGGTTTTCTGTGTGCTGTTTTGTTTGGTTTGTTTTATTTTATTCCCAGTGCCTGCTGGGTAGCTTTAAAGTCCCCAAAACAGGAATGCACATGAAGACCAGGAAATGTTAAGAGGCAAACATTTTAACTTCCCTCCCACTCAGATTTCTTCCCCTGCCGCAGAAAAAATATGGACTCAGTCAGAGATCAATATGATCAGACCAAAGCCATTTATTGCAAAGCCTTAACTCCTTATATACTATTGCTTACATGCACTTACAGTGATTTGGCTTATTATGATTGGATACATGTCTTGAAGACCCTTAGTGACTAACATATACTTGGTTAAGCAAGGTGTGAGAACTTGACCTCGAAAGCTTGCCAACAGTCCACAGTTCTCATAACTCAGTGAATTCCAGCTTCTTCTTACCTTGCTTGCTTAAGCTTCCTCGGGCCTCTCATGGCCTTGCTGTATCTTTGGGGATTATTCAGAGTTTATGTACCAATTATTCATTATCCGGTGAGAACACTGTCTCCACATTCCCCTTCGACTCCGGTTCCTATTCCTCCTCATCCTTTCTTCACATAACCTGTTTTTCCACCTCTTACCTGTGCTTATTTTGTCGTGTCTCCATACTTTTATTCAAATGTTTCTCATTTATGCTGGTTCTCACCTCAGACTTCCCAGTCCCGCCCTACTTTGGCTGACTATTCTGCATTTTTGAGGATAAAAAGTTAATAAGGAAAAGAAGGTATTTTGAGGGTTAAAAGCCATTTTACTTTTTCTTACGTTGAGGCAAATGTACTCACTTTATTTTTAGAGAGCTGCCTGCCTCATGCGAGTTGACAGGCACCTTCAAAAATAAGTCAGTCTTCCAAATATATCACCTCTCTGTTCTCAAAGAAGAAAGAATGTTTGCAGCTTTGCTTGGAGGTTGTATTGCATTTTGGTAGACCTTACAAGATAAATACAATTTTAATGTAGCTGGGAAACTAGGTCAAGCACAAATTGTAAAGCTTAATAGATAAAGAGAAATCTCAAAAATAAATGTCTCATTTTAGCTTCATGAAGACTTTCTCTCTGTATCTTACAGATCCTTCTGGTACTGTTTTTTTCTTTGCCTCCCCAAGATAGTGTTCTTCTTTCAGTATTGATGGTACTTTGTTACATCATTATTCCATTAAGCTTTTGTGTTACATCATTATTACTTAAGGTCATAACATAATAAAACTTTAGGGTAAGTAAAAACATCATCCTTCCCCAGTTGCTCACTCCCCTTTCTGCACTTTTTTCCCCCACCTTGTATTGACACACAAGTTGTTTGTGCAGTCCATGCAGTGAATCAAATAGGAGAATTAGCTGTGTTTATCTGCTTTTTCTAGCTCAAAGTGTTTGTTGAATAACAGTTTCAGCCAGACTCTGCTGAGTCAGTCTGACTCAGCAATTTACTGCTGTTAGATTTGTATTCTGGAATAGAGAGTCTAAATATAAAAACCCCCAGCATTATGTGGACTGAGGGCAATACACAAAACTGATTTTGGGAAATACAGGTGTCTGTCAGGTGTTTCTTGCTTACAATCTTTAGTCAGTGAAGAACTATTTTTAGAACATTTGCTTGTCATTGCTCTGTCCTATATATAAACAGCATTAAAAGATATTCTTTCCAAAGAAAAATAAAGGCAAGCTTTGATCTGTATCTGTGATTTTTTTTTCCTTTTTTCCCTTTTTTCTTGAAGCGCAGATGGCCTCAAATAATTAATTTTCTATCTTCCATTCTTACCTTCTTGAAA